GTGCCCTCACCCACAGCTGAGATTTCCTGTATGCAGGGCCATGTGTCCTCTGAGTAGAGATGGTTTTGCTTCTTTGTTTTGGATGTCTTTTACTTCCTGCATGTGTTTTCAGGGGAGAGCCCATGGAAGCTCGGCCCAGGGAGAGGGGCAGTGTTGGGGTTTTGAAGTCCTTGAACGGGATGAGCTCAGCATGGGGTGAGCAGGGGCCAAAAAGATTTGGAATTAGAATAAGGAGCCTGGAGTGAGCAGCAAGTCCCTTTGACTAGTGGCCCGGTGGCCCGCTTGCTCCACCTTCTTTCTCCTTCCCCGGCAGTGCAATCTGTATCCCACAAGTGTTGCAGTCAGGGTTTACAGGGAAAGGATTTGGTATAGGACGCATCTTTGTAAGGTTATTTTATAATCACGCAAAGATCCAGATGCAGAAGGGTACAGGAGATTGTCCACACTCCAGAGACCCAAGAACCCAACTGACGGCCTGCGTCCCACAGCAGCGTCCTGCTCAAGTCCTAGAGCCCACGGTGATGTCCTCTGTGAGGTCAGCAGGAGGCCTAGGACCTTTGGTAATGCATCATGGAAGTGTGTACCAAGGAACCGCGCTAGGAGGCCCAGCCGTGCTGGAAGCTAGAAAGTCTGTGCCAGCGGAATGAAGGATCTGTACCAGCAGGCTGAGGGATGTGCACTGGAGCCAGGACGCAATGCTCAAAATAAGGACCAGAGCTGCCCCACATAGTACGGTGGCCGTCCTCAGCAACAGCAGTTCCAAGCTCCTCCGACGAGAACAGCTGAGCTCATCACGAAAGCCAGCGGGACTCGCTTCTCCAGCAGGACCCACAGCGCCGCCTTCCCCCGCAGTTCTCCTCGCAGGCTGTGGGCAGCAGCCCTCGGTGGGCCCTCCGCGCCCAGCACCACGCTGACTCAGTCAGCTGGGTGCTCCAAGCTGCCCCCCTGTTGTCATCCACCACAGTAAGCAAGCACCTCAGGCTTTCTGCTGCCAAGAATCCCGCAGGATGCGGATGTTGGCCGACGGAACTACTTGCACGAGTGACTGGTGCAGGGCTAAAGGAGGCTGGGCTGCGGCGCTGCACTTTTTAAAGTCAAGTCCAAGCAGCACAGTTACGGATCTGCCAAGCATGGCGCTTACCCGGGCCCCTCGGCGCTTACCCGGGCCCCTCATCCTGTTTAACCAGAATTGCCCAGGGTGCTCTGAGAAGGCCTGTTCACTGAGGTGTGGTCTTTCCTTTTATCTTCCAGGTACAATGGTGAAGTAGGAGACATTGTAGTGGGGAGAATCACGGAGGTAAGGGTGGTGGTGGCTCTTGTGGGCAAAGTAAAGGCCACCTGGTGACTGACGGAATGGGCAGGCGGTCTGCACGGAGTTGTTTTACAAACACATTCCTTGCCTGGGGCTGAGGTCTGACACTGACCTTGTGCCCCACTTTTTGTTGAGCCAAGGTCTCACTATTTTGCCTGGGTTGGCCTTGAACTCACTGCACTACACTCCTCTAACAGGCTGACCTGCCTCAGCCCTGCAGTGCTGGGATTACAGGTGCGCCACCACTGCAGCTGTCGGTCTCCTACGACATGAGCGCTTCCTCTTGAAGCATGTGTCTAGTTGTGCACCTTTTTGTTTGCAGGTTCAGCAGAAGAGGTGGAAGGTGGATACCAACTCCAGGCTGGATTCGGTCTTGCTCCTCTCGTCCATGAACCTTCCAGGCGGAGAGCTGGTAAGGGTCCTGCTGGGTCCTCAACTGTGCCGTTCCCTAGTGACACGGTGGCGCCCTTGCTGCACCAGAGAACCGTGCGCGGTGCTGAGCTTGTGCCTGGGTCGCTGCCTGCATGTGCCTCTGGCCCAGGTCTCAGAGCAGGCAGCAGCCTGTGTGGTGAGATCAGAAGCAGCAGAGGCGGGGAGAGGTGTGCTGAGCTGCTGCTGCTGCTGCGCCTTCTCGTCCGGCTGTGTCAGCCTCGCACAGTGGGTGTCCTTGAAAAGTTGCTGGTAGAGGGGCCGGGGAGATGGCTCAGTAGGATAAGCGCTTGACTGGCAAATGCAAGGATCTGAGTTCAACCCCCGGTTCTGCCAAAAAAAAAGAAAAGTTGCCGGTGGAGTCATTTTTTGTGAGTTGAGTGATTGTGGCAGCGCCTCAGCTGCCGCCCTCTGGACGGAGCACGGTGCAGCCCAGCGTCTGCTTACAGAGGGGCTGGCTGCGCCACGCCTGTGGAGAAGCCAGGGAGGAGGCTGCTTGGAGGAGCTGGGGGATGGGCACAGGATTGCCCTGGTGCCTGGCAGAAGGAGTACACGGGCACATGGCAGAGGATTGATTCCAGAGAGGAAAGCTCATGCTGGGTCGGGGTTGATGGCTGAGGAAATGGGCTCGGAGTCGCGCGCGGGGGTGGGGGGAGGGGTGTCCTCAACTGCGCCATTCCCTGGTGACATGGTGGTACCTGCGCAGACACAGCCTGCAGGGTGGGCGTGTGCCATCAGGTGGGGTGCTTGGATGTTCCTCGGCAGGGAGGGACCAAGAGGGAGAGGTCTCCCGGATGGAGAGCAGTGCCGGCCTTGTTCCCTCCAGTGCCCCGGGTCACCTCTTAGCGTAGCACTGAGGGGCTGAGTGTCATGGTTGGCTTCACAGATCTGAAGAGGTAAAAGAGAAGGACGTGGAGGGAGAGGTCTGTGGGGACTGGGCCTGAGCACCATCGTTTCTTTTTCTCAGAGGAGACGATCTGCAGAGGACGAGCTTGCCATGCGGGGCTTCCTGCAGGAAGGAGACCTCATCAGCGTATCCTGTGTGCCACGTCCTAGCCGGGTGCTTTCCCCAGGGCTGTGAAGGGGTCTCAGGCTCACTTGGGTCTGCCACAGGGGCTGGTCATCCTCGCAGGGACCCGCGACATCCTGGCTCCAGGGCTCTGCTGGGGACTTTTCTCTGGGTCATCTAACTCCTGGGAGCCCTCGTGGTAGTTCAGGCTTGAATTTTCTCTTTTTTTTTTTTTTTTGAAGAACACTTTTTTTTTTTAATATTTATTTTTTTTATTTATTACATTTATTTAGTGTGTGTGTGTGTGTGTGTGTGTGTGTGTGGCCAGTTCAGCCCACCAGGGGGCGGGTCTGGCTGGCATGTGGTGCTGGGGATCGAACCGCGGTCCCTGTGCTTTGCCAAGCTTGTTTCAAGTAGGTGCTTTAGACCACTGAGCCATCTCTCCAGCCCCTTGAATTTTCTCTTACGTTAAGTTTTATCCCAGGGAGCAGAAAGGTTGTATTCATGTCAAGGAGCCCATATTGCCCAGGGGAAAGGACATCACAGTGATGTTCTCTTAGGCCGCCTGAGCGAGCAGGGGGCCGGGCTGGGGCCGGGCAGGTGTGGGAGGCTGCGTCGTCGCTGTGCATGTGGGCAGTGAGCCTGTTGTGCACTCCTTCACCGCCTTGGCCAGGCAGAGGTCCAAGCAGTGTTCTCTGACGGAGCCGTCTCCCTGCACACGAGGAGCCTGAAGTATGGAAAAGTAAGTCGCGTGCTTATGCCTGCCGTTTGCCCGCTGAGGCTTCCGGTCCATTTCTGCATCCCCATAGCCCCGACATGCCGACCAGAAGAACTGTGGCTCCCAAGCGTTGATGGCTGGCATCCCCTCACCTGCTGGCATTCTCAGAGCGTCTCAGCCTTTCCTGGCTGGCCGAAGTGCCCCTCTGCCCAGGGCTGTGAGCACTGCTGTACTGCTCCCCGTGGGACAAGCTGGGGCCGGGGTGGGGGAGGCTGAGACAGGGCCGCGAGCCTCAGCCTTCGTCCCGTCAGCTCAGTAAAATGAGCTGCGTCACCACCAAGACAGGGCTGTTGCCTAGGCCTCGAAGTGCAGCTCCACCGCTGTGTGCGGTTACACGGTGGAGGCCAGCCTGAGAGAACTCGGCTTCTGGCCCCGGGCTGTCTGGGGACACCCCTGCCCTTGCTGGAGGGGCAGCAGCTACCCCCCTTGGCATACGGGAGTAGGCACTGAGTGCCAGTTCTCAGGCCGGGGCCCACAGACCCTCCGTGGCAGGATGTGGGCCTGGTTCTCACCCTGCTCTTGCCAACATGAATGTTTGGGGTGAGGGAGGAGCTCGGGTCACGGGGCAGGACTGTGGTCCCCAGCTAGTGGGAAGGCTTGGTACACATTCTCATGTCTGGAGCTTCCCTGACTGCTGTGGTCCTGAGTTAGCCTGCGGTGATGCCTACAAAGGGAAGCGACAGGTGAGCAGGACAGTCACCTCTGGAGTGTGTTTCCTGCACAAACGTCCAGAGCTGTGGTGTGCGCCGGCCTGGCTGTAGTGAGTGTGCGGTCTGGAAGCTCCTGTCCCCGTGGGGATGGGCGCACGGTGACGGCCCCGCGCTGTCTCTAGCTAGGCCAGGGCGTGCTGGTGCAGGTCTCCCCCTCCCTGGTGAAGCGGCAGAAGACTCACTTCCATGACCTGCCGTGCGGCGCCTCCGTGATCCTGGGCAACAATGGCTTTGTCTGGATCTACCCAACCCCGGAGCACAAAGACGAGGACGCAGGGGGCTTCATCCCAGACCTGGAGGTGAGGAGGCAGGCCACAGAGCCTGGGGTGGGCGGCACTCGCTGCTTGCTTCCCTTTTTCCTGTTGGTGCTGGGGATCGAACCCAGGGCCTTGAACCGAGCTGGGTCTCAGGCAGTTTCATTGTGAGAGGAGATCCGAATTAGTTGCTCCATCGGCCTGGAACTCATGACCTCTTCTTCAGCCCCTGAATAGCTGTGGTGACAGATGTATACCACCTTCCCCTGCTTGGAAGTTGCTGCTTTTTAGACTACAGTGTTGTGCTATTTAATGAGAGGACGTGTTCTGAGGTGTCAGTGTTTGGTGATTTGGTCATTGCATAGAGAATACTTACAAATTAAACAAAGCACCACTAGGTAGTTTAATTGCAGGAGACCAGCACTATCTGTGGGTGTGTGTGTGTACGTGTGTGTGTGCACGCCATTGTGCAGTGCGTGTCATTGCCATAGCCCAGGTGAATTTGGCTTTCCAGCACACAGAGGTATGGTAGCAGAACTGCCTTCACTTCTGGGGAGAGACAAATTTGGGGTTGGTTATTTGTTGGCAAAAGTGGCATAGATGTGGGTCAGCAGCCAAATAGCCCTAAGGAAGTCACGCACTGTCTCGTCCCCCAGTTGGCTGCTGGCCTGAGTGGTGCTGTCCGTGTCTGACTGGTCTTTCCTGTGAAGCACTGGGATGCTCCTCACTTTGGTGCTGTCCCCTTCCATGTCCCCACAGCCTGTGTCGCTGACTGATCGAGAGGTGATATCCCGGCTCCGGAACTGTGTGGTCTCACTGGTGACCCAGAGGATGATGCTGTATGACACCAGCATTCTGTATTGCTACGAGGCGTCCCTTCCGCACCAGGTGCTGCCCCCACCCCCACCCCCACCTCCCTGCTGTCACTGACCCTGGGTTTCTTCAGAGTCACAATCACGTGTCCTAAACACTTTTACCAGGTGCCTTAGTGAGTGTCTGGCAGGTCTGTCCTCAAGAACTTGTGGTATTCTTTTTTTAAATTTTTTATGTATTTGGTACAGGGTCTCACTGTGCAGCTCGGACTCATGGTGACCCTCTGTTTCAGCTTCCTCAGTGCTGGAACTTACAGGTGTGCACCACTGCGCCTGGTTAAACTTGCAGTATTCTGTCTGGTGTCAGGCTGAGGGTTAGGAGTGGCGCTGGGGTCTCGGAGGGCTCCTTTGTGACAATAGCCCTCTTGACTCCATTGTCCCCATCCCACATTCCAGCCATGTTCTTCACAAGTGTCAGAGCAATGCCCTTACTCTTGTGGGCTCCATCGCAGGGAGTCCTCTGATTCCTTAGGCTGATTCCAGCAGGTCATGCCCTGCCGTCCCTACTCGCACAAGTACAGCACAGAAGGTGCGTGCTGACCACGCTTGGTACCTGCGTTTAGGGGTCTGCTGCTCTGCTGCTGGCTGGCTTCTTGATGAGCACGTACCTTGTCTTTCATCTTTTTCAGATCAAAGATATCTTAAAGCCAGAAGTAATGGAGGAGATTGTGCTGGAAACTCGCCAGAGGCTTCTAGAGCAGGAAGGATGAGGAGCAGCTTCCGGGATGGGATTGTGCGCTTGGCTGCAGCGGTCCTGGGAAGTGCAGGGTCTGTTCTGGTCCCCACGTGCGGCCCAGACAGCATCCCGCAGACTCCTGACTCTGCTCGGAGCACAGTTGCTGTCCCCACCCCCAGTCCAGGCCTGCTTTCTCATTTGGGACGAGGGGCTTGGTGGGTGAGCGGTGCCTCATGAGTCCTAGCAGAAGAAGGTAATGTTAGGTCTTTGAGATGCACAGTGTCCTCCTGGAATAGCATAGAGCAGCCTTTGTCTTCCCTCACTCATGAAGTTGTCTTGGTGCAAACCGTGGTGTCCCTGACCCCCAAGCGGTCTCCACTCCTCCTCCTCTTAAGGCACAAGTGCACAAGGGAGAGTGCGCCTGGTAAAGCTAATCCTGAAGCCAGATGGAGGAATGAAGTTAACCCAGCAGCCCTTGCCTGGTTGAAATCTCATTCGATCCTTCGAGCGACAGATGCAGGGGACCCACAGCAGGCTGCCAGAACCTGCCCTGCCTTCGAGGGTGTTTACGAAGCTGAGTTCCTGTGAACAGAGAACACAAATGTCCTGGGCCCATTGTCCTTAGGGTGCTCTGATAAGGGGGAAGAGAACAAAGTAGGAAAAATGGGAAACAGCTGTTTTATAATAAAAGAGTGACACAGGGTTAAAGACGAAAGCAAGATGCTGAAGTTTTCACTGAAGCGTAGTATTCTTGTGGTTGAATTTCTGATGACTATTAGAAATGGTGCCCTGACTTAGGGTGGTTTTTTTTTTTTTTTTGCGGAACCTGGGATTGAACTCAGGCCTTGTACTTGCCAGGGAAGCGCTTATTCTACTGAGCCATCTGCCTGGCCCTAAGATTTTCTTTTAAAGGTACTATATATGCAAGCTTGTTTCATTTTACATCTCTGGTGACCTTTTTTGGTATTTCCAGTGTAATGGTTTCTGTCCTTGTCATGCTGGATACATGAAGGAGGGCTCAGACACAATTCCCTTTTGGCTGGGGAGCTACCATTCTTGGGTCACAGGGCCTCACTGCAGTTCAGGCTGGCCTTGAATTCACAGAGATCCTCCTGCGTCAGCCTCCTGGATGCTGGGATGAAAGGGATGCAACTCCTGAACACTGCATTTGATGGTTTTTAAATACAATTTGGCTGTCTTTATTTGTTTTTGAAGTACCAGGGATCGAACTCAAGACTTTGCATTTGCCTCGCAGGTGCTTATGCTGCTCAGCTATCTCCCTGGCCCTAATTTGGCTGTCTTTAAATGGCATGTTTCTTTATGTAACATAAACCAATAGACAACTTCTTTCTTCACTTTGGTTTTATCAAAGCACTTGTTGAGGAATTTGCTGGTAACAGTACATTCTTCTACAACTGGAGGTTGGCTCCCCTGTCATTCTTGAAAAGGTTTCCAGGTTGTATATCTGCTGGCAGAAGGAAATGAGAGAGCAGGAGCCTGAGCCGGCGGTGTCGTCCTCGCTTGGCTTCTCCCATGCTGCCAGCGTACACCCTTTGTTCAGTGTCTGCAGAGTGGTGATCAGTGATGGGAATGAGATCTGAAAGCATCTTTTGTGACTGCAGGTCCACTAGAGGGCGCCCTTGTTCAGTAATTGCAGTAGGTGTTTGTACTGACCTTTGATTTTTTTTTTTTAATTTCAGATTTTTTTAAATTTTATTTATTTGTGTGTGTGTGTGTGTGTGTGTGTGTGTGTGTGTGGCCAGCTCAGCCCACCGGGGGCGGGGCTGGCTGGCATGTGGTGCTGGGGGATTGAACCGCGGTCTCTGTGCTTTGCTGAGCTCGTTCTAAGTAGGTACTTTAGACCACTGAGCCATCTCACCAGCCCCTGACCTTTGATTTTTAAAATGAGAACACAAGTAGACCAAACCAAATCACTTAATAAAAGTATATGAGTTTTAAAGATTTGGGTAACATGCTATCAGCATTTCTATGCTTCAGATTCCATTTTTAAGTCTTCAAAGTATTCTCCAGTGTTGTACAGGGATTTAAAACGTTTGCTGCATCTCTTTGGAAAAAATAGTCTGGGCTTGGGAGTCACCTAGGCCTAGGGAACAACAGAAGCGAAAACTGGAGATTAGAGATGGGCCTTTAGGTCTGATACAGTTGACCTCTGCATGGACTGCATGTCTCATTCTTCATGGAAAACCAGGCTAGTTTGAGCCTCATCAAGGCTTCTCAGCCTTTCGGTTAAGAACAAGCCTAGTTTGATCCTCATGATGGCCTAAGAAAGTGAGCAGCCATGAGCCTTCTTGTAGGTCCAGCAAACAGTGAGGCGGCTGGCGCGAGCCTGTGCACACCAGTGCGTCAGGAGCCGACTGAAGCTCTCGGGCATAAAGCAGTCCTTTGGAGGGCTGTTGGGCTGAGGGGAAAGCTTATGGGTCCAGAAGTCCATTTCCAACGGATGGGTCTTTGGAAGGTTACCTGTGTACAACTTGTCCCTTTCTCCACAGCTGCTCCTTGAGGAGGAAGCATCTTTGCCCCATGGTTGTATCCCAGCACAAGAAGTGCGTGTTAGAATGAGCTCTGATTGGATTGTCCAATTTTATGCTAAAGCAGAGAGGAGAGCACGCAGACGTCTCAGTAGGGATGTAGCTCAGCATACAGTGCCTGCCCGGCATCCTGAGGTTCTGGGTTCAACCTCTAGGACTGGAAAGGGAAAGAAGTCAGATGTGAGGAAATTATAGGAATAAAAGCCAATCTTCAAAAAAATTAGTAATCAGGATAAGGTAATGGGGTCACAATCAAAGGGGGACAAAGGGCATCGCATTTTGAAATTATAGTTCTAAGTGTGTGCACAAGTTTTCATAATGTGTCACATTCAGTAGTATCTCCAGGTGACTTTCCCTGCTCGTGCCATTATGGAAAATGTCATTTCTAGATCAAGAACATTACCAAAATATGTAGCTGAGCTGTTTAACATTCATCAGAGGCATTGCCCTCTGATACCAGTCGCAACTTGTGAAAAATAAATTCTGTAACATTGCCTCAAGAGTTACAGTATTTGATAACCTGATGGTGCGGTAGAAAATCCGAGAATTTTGGAGCAAGGTCAGGCTGGGCGGTAGTGACTATCACTAGCCGGGTGACCCATGAAAGTCACCTCTTTCCCCACCTGAGGGACAGGAATGCCACTATGCTTCCGGGACTCCAGACTTTTTGGGCTATAGTGTGTGGGTCCGAAGGAGTGGGGAAATCCAGGCCAGATGCTCCATGATGGGGTGTAGGGAGAGTGAGAAAGAGGGCACCTGGTGCTTTTAAGCTGGCAGAAGCTGAGTTGCAGAAGGTGCTAGCTGTAGGCCCGCAAAATCCCAAACTGGGCATTTTCTCGGCTAACATCAAGGTATTTGTGTTCGTTTGTGCAGGCTAAAAGTTCATGCCACCACAAACGTCTAGGATTGCACCTGGCATGCTGTTTCTTCAATGAGTGAGCTCCCCCCCCCCCCCATATTCCCGGAACAAGCCAGTGACTTCGTTAGCAACAATCGAATACCTGCTTTCTGTGTCCTCATAGGTCCAGTACTTAAGCCGGTTTCTGGGAGCAGGCCAAATTTTCTCCAATAAGGTCAAGGAAGTAATCCAACTCCAGGTCTTGGAAAATCCAATCCACAGTTTCCCTTCGCTCTGGCTCTCCGCCAGTCTCACTGCTCGCCCAGAGAAGGCACTGGCCGGCTGCGGCGAGAATCCCCCGGCTCCCAGGAGGGCGGGGCTGGCGCTCCGGAGCCGGGACCCGGCGCGCCGCGGACCACAGCTCCCGGTACGCCTCGCGGCGGAGCCGAATACGGTTGGCTGGCAGCTCTTGCCCTGCTGCTCGCCTCGTCCTATGGGAGGGGGAACAGCGGCCTGATCCGGATTCCCAGCGACCAATAGTGGTGCAGGGGAGGCGGGCGCTTCCTTACAGCTCACCTTGCGCTCTGAAAAGCCGCACAAAAAAGGTCGTGGGGGGTCGAGCTGTTCTGGAGGTGACTTCGAAGTCCGCAGGTGCGGCGGCATCCCGTGAAACAGGCTCCGGGGGTGCCCTGGGCCCCCAAGAGGCGGGCTCCGGACGTCGCGGGGGCGGGGCAGGGGGCGGGGCCTGGCCTCGTTGTGGAGAGGCTCGTAATCCATCATGGCGGCCGTGGGGGTCGGTGTCTGTCCCTGAGCGGCGCCGGAGCCGGAGCTGGGTTCACGTCTTGCGACGGCCGAGCCTCTCGGTGGTCCACGGCCCCTGCAGACCGCGAACAGCAGGCTCCCTCGGCGGAGCTCGGGGGATGTAACTGCTCGGTGGCGGCGGCGTCCGGAGCCGGGGGAGGGGGTGTCTCGGACCGAGACCCCAGTGCTTGCTGCGGGCAGTGGAGCGACCGGGCCTCCTCCCCCTCTGTGCCGACCTCCTGACTTCGGGGCCGCGAGAGCTGCGGCCCTTACACCGCTGTCCCGGATCGGGACACCGGGGGTAGTTTCAGTTTTCCCCGACCTGGGACACCCCGTTTCGTGAGGCTGGAGGAGCGTCGACCCCGGAGTAAGCCCCCCCATGCCCTGCCCCGGGAGCCACCTCCTGCCCCCGAGCCGCCCTTTGCTCCAGATCCCGGCCTCAGCTCTGGCCACGGAGCTTCCCATTCAAATCCCCTTCCTGCTGTCCAGCGGCCTCCCCTGACCCCCCGGTTACCCCCGCGAGTCTGTAATGCCCTGACCTGTTCCAATGTCACCTGCGGCCCCCTTGGACTCAGCGAAGCCACAAACTTTAATGGAAAGGAAAAGTCTGGATTGGTTTCACAGGCCTTTTAAAAAGAGGGCTTGAAAGTTGCTGGCACCGCATTTCTGCCCAGTCTGACTGCAGGCAGGCTTTCGGTGAAGTCTGCGTGAGTGACCGTGTCTTCTCCGGAGAGCAGCGGAGAGTGGAGAAGCCAGGACAGGGAGCAGCGGCTTCCACACGAGGGGTTCTGGGGACGCATCCGAGATGGTCAGCGCTTCCCTTACGCCTGGAAACCGAAATGAAATTGAAGTGTTTTGAGTTCCTTTTAGCAACCCCTGTGAATATTTCTGTTTCGGTTTTTCTTCTCGAAAAGGAAAACTACTCAGTCCGTACAGCCTACTTTTGAGTCAAGAAGCGACACTTTTGGGTTGCATCGCAATTAAAATTAATAAACTGGCAGTCGTTGGAACACCTGTTTACGTGTGTTAGCCCGAACTCCACTCCCCTGCCTTGTGGAAGACGTGTTTCTGTGATTGGCCTCAGTTGCCGAATGTGAAACCCCACTACATACTGCCTTCCTTCTAAGCCCACTGACTGTTCTGGAAGATCTTGAACCCTCTTCTGGCAAGGGGTGCCCATCATTGCTTTATGGGGCAGCAGCCTGGAAAAGTTCTTGGGGACCAAAGAAGGCCAAGTTTACCTGCCCTACATTTTATCAAAGGAGCAGGGAAAAAGGAACCATCGAGGCATGGGGGTCCACACTGCAATGTTTTTGTGGAACATGGTGAGTACTTTTTCTACATTTCTGGTCCAGTTTGTCCTTATGCGTTCAGGTTAAGCGACCAGAACTGTCTGACACAAGAGTACTGCTGCCAGTTATGCGTAGCTTTTTTTGTTGCTATAGTTGTGTCTGGTGGATCTTGTTCTGTACTCCATGATGACTTTATTCAGAACGTGTTTGAGGGGCTGGGGAGATGGCTGAGTAGAGTAAGTGCTTGCCCGGCAAGTGCAAGGGTCTGGGTTCGATCCCTGGTTCCGCCAAAAAAAAAAAAAAAAAAAAAAAAAAAAAAAAAAAAGAAAGAAAGAAAGAAAGAAAAAAAACTTGTTTGAATTCCGTATTTTTTGCCTGATTCTGCTTGTAACTCCCTGTTGACCGAGGACAAGCCACTTTGCTGTTCCAGAGCCTCACTTTCCTTAGGAGTTTGGACTTCACTGGCTTCTTAGGGTCCATCCATACTTCTGTCATCTGCCCTAAGTGTCTGCCTGTGTGGGTGTTTTCCTACTTTGCACAAAACTCATCATATTCTCAAGAGTGGTTTGTGCATGACTCCTGGTTGGTGCTACTATCCTTGACCTTTCCTGTGACAGTTAGTAGTCCTTGGAAGTCTGCACTCTGAAACTGGGGAAACAGCATTCTTCCTGAATGGAGGATATGCAGCTTCTAGTTATTTTACCTTTCTGAAGGAGTTACCTTCCCCCAGTGAAAGGCACTCTCTTCTTCCCCTCTCTCTGTATAGAATGCCACCATGCCAGGCAGAGGTTTTGCTTTCTTTCTTTCTTTTTTTCTGGTACTGGGGATAATACTTATAGCTTTACATGTGTTACGCAAGCAGTTGCTGTATCCCCAATCCTTTTTAGTTTTTATTTTATTTTATTTTATTTTTTATTTTTGGCGGAACCAGGCATTGAACTCAGGCCCTTGTGCTTGCCAGAGAAGCGCTTATTCCACTGAGCCATCTCCCCAGCCCCTAGTTTTTATTTTAAAAGATCTCACTAGCCAGGCCTGGTGGTGCATGCTTGTAATCACAGTCCACTAAGCAGGCTGAGGCAGGAGGATACCTTCAAGTTCAAGGCCAGCATGGGCCGCAGACTGAAAATGTTTCACTAAGTTGCCCAGGCTGATCTCAAATTTGGCATCCTCCTGTTCCTGGCTCCCCACTAGCTGGGATTACAGGCATGCACTATCATGCCCAGCTAGTTTTGCTTTCTTACAGAAAGTATTCAGTTAGGCTAATTGAATCTAGGTACCTGGGTTTTACTATGAAACGTTAGCTCTGGTTTAGCATTAGTATTAAGCAAGCAAATGTAATAGTCTGCAGTCTCCCCAAATTCAGTATTTGAAAAGGGAATTATTTATATTTGGGTAGTGATGACTATGCAACCTTAGATAGTAAAGATTGATACAGACTTTTTGGGGAGTTTTGGTACAATCTGTTAGAATTTATCATTGGCAACATATACTGGCAAAGTATTACCTTTACAATGAAAATTAGAATTTTGGAGAACTTTTATCTGCCCCTGCCATGTTGATGATTTTAGTATTTACAGATGTGAGATATATATATATATATATATATATATATATATATATTTAGTATAGGATGTATAGGACCTCACTACACAGATCAGACTCATAGCAGTTCTCCTGTTTGCAGCCTCCCAAGTGCTGAGATTATAGGGGTGTGCCACCATGCCGTCTCAGTCGTTGTCTCAGCGTGCCCAGGGGGTAGGACTGGCGCAGCTTGTGGTGCTGGGGATTGAACCCTGCTCCCTGTGCTCTGCCTAAGAAGCAGGCACTTTAGTCTACTGAGCTATCTGGTCAGCCCCCAGGTGTGATATTTTGATATTTCATCATGAATGTATTACTTGAGAGACCTGCATAAGCCTGTGAGTCATTGTTTTGTAAATGCTTAGCACATGATATAGAATTACGCACAGGGCCATTCAGAAAGTATTCGCATGTATAGTTATATAAAAGGTCCATTTGAAGCACAGAATGCACTGGAAGACTTCAGTGTAATAGAATAGAGATGGGATTTTAGTTAGCGTGGCTAGAGAGGCCGGCTGGGATGGGAGCGTTTGAATAAAGACCTTATCTTTCATAGAAGTGTGGGGCACCGCATTTCTGTTGGGGAGATCAAGTGCAAAGGTCCTGAGGCAGAGCCTGCAGATTGAAGGAACAGCACAGGGGTGAGCATAGCAGGGGCAGAGAGAGGAAAAGAGGGCTGGAGGGGAAAAATGGGAACGGGGAAGATGCCTGGCAAGAAAGGGGGATTTGGTCATTTCAAGGATTTTGACTGTGTGCATTTTGATTGGGAAGCCTTTGGTGAATTTTGAAGGGCAGTCATGGGATGAGTGTTTCAGTAGAATTTCTGGGACTGGGGGGCTGGCCAGATAGCTCAACAGACAAAAGCACCTGCTTAGGCAGATCTCATTGGCTGGGGTTCAGTCCCCTGTGTGCTGTGTGGGCCCCGCCCCCAAGGCCTGCTGAGACCAGGCATGGGCGTGTGCACCTGTAATTCCAGTGCTTGGGAGGTGAAAAACAGGAGAATCACTAGGAGTCCCACCTACGTAGTGAGAACCTATAGACCCTGTACTAAAAAAAAAAAAAAAAAAAAAAATTCTGCTTGGACCAGGTGGTGGCAGTGGATAGAGGGTCAGGTTCTGTAAATATTGGAAGACACAGCCCCCTGGGTTTGCCCTTGGTTAGATGTAGGTTCCCAGAGTTTGAGACTGAGGAACTGGAGGAATGAAGTTGCTTTTTAGTGAAACGGTAGCTGACTTATCATTGGCAGCAAGTGCTAATAAGTTTTTTTTTTTTTGTTTTTTTTTTCCTGGAACCAGGGATTGAACTCAGGCCCTTGTGCTTGCCAGGGAAGTGCTTATTCCACTGAGCCATCTCCCCGGCCCCTAGGGTTTGTTTTTTGAGACAGCTTCTCACTGTGTAGCCCAGACAGGCCTCCAACTTGCTGTGATCTTCCTGCCTCAGCACTGGATTGAGGTGTGCACCACCAAGCCCACCCACTTATTTTCCTCGAAATTGAGGAGTGCAGTGTGGGGAAGGCTGCAGAAAGTTAGCAGCAGGACTGTCCTTGTGGGCATGTTACCCTGGAGGTGGCTGGTGGGCACTGAGGGGAATGTGTCAGGCAGCTGGGCCCCTGAGCTTGAGTTCCAGGAAGCAGGCCAGGCAGAAGAGGAGGCGTCCTCAGGGTATAGGTGTTTTGTTTTGTTGTGTTTGTTTTTGAGACAAGATTTCACTATGCAGTTCAGGCTGGCCTTGAATTCCCTTTGTAGCCCAGGCTGGCCTCCAACTCGGAGATCCTTCTGCCTTAGCCAGTTTTGCTGGGGTTGCAGGCATGCTCACACCCAGCAGTATAGGTATTTAGGTATTTAAGGCATGAGAATGGATGTGATTGTTGCAGAGAAGTCTCTGTATAGAGGTGCTTTTATTTTAAGTGGTGTTTATTTGTTTGTTTGTTTTGGTACCTGGAATCGAGTCAGGACCTTGCACTTGCCAGGCAGGTGCTTGTCCAAGCTGAGCTATATCCCCAGCCCTGCATAAGTACCTTTATGTATATTAAAGCACATTAAATAGTTCATGGGTTTTTTTTTTTTAAATAGTAGTTTGAATTTTTTGAGTGACATTCACATTTTACATAGGGATTATTTTGACTCATCTTTAGGCTTTAAATCTTATTTTTTCCCTAGTAGGTCAAAAAGTTACAGATAAAAAATTGCATGTAGTTTTTCCTATTTTTCTTGGGAGTACATTTCTAAATATAGAATTATTTTAATATGTTTATGATGCTTCTAAAATTAATGCTTAAATATTTGAAGCTCTTTTTAAAAAGTTAATTTTGTATTTTGAGCTTAGTGCATCTATGTCCTTGAATGTATTATTGATCTATCTTACTTGTACCAAGTGTCTTAATATGAGCTTATGTGAAAACAATCCTATGATATTGTTTGCTATCGGTTGAAAACAGGGCTCACCAGCAGCAGGGTTCGCCAAGGAAACTTGGATGGAGCGGTAGTAGGAGCCCAGCACATCAGTGCTGTTAGTTCGTCCCCTCACGCTGCGCCGGGTCTCTGTGCTCGCACGTGAGGAGGCAGGAGAGCGCTGCTGAGATGTGCACGTGTGAAAGTTACATCAGTCAGATTAGTAGCAAAGAGGTTGTTTGGAAAGATTACAGTCTATGTACTCCTATGAGGAATTAATTGGGTTGTGTATGAATTGTGAAATGCCAAATTGCGTGTATGTACATTTTTTGTATGTACATTTTTATGGGTATTTTTCAAGAAACATAACTAGCTATTTTAAGAAGTATACTCGTAATATAAAAGAAAACATTTCTTGTAAGTAAAGGAGAATGACAAGACAAATTAACCAGGAGTTTTAGTTTTACCTAATTTATTTTTTAATTTAATTTTAAAAGTTTATTCATTTATTTTTGAGACAGGTTCTCAGTATGAAGTTTGGGCTGGCCTTGTGTTGACTTTGGTAGCCCCCAGGCTGGTCTCAAACTTGCAGAGATCCTCCTGGCTCAACCTTCCCAGTGCTGAGATTACAGGCATGCACCACCATGCCCAGTTCTGGGGCTGTACAGTGGGTGCCCGCGTCCGAGGCCAAGCTGGTGTGCCTGGGGACCTGGGGCTGAGACCACAGGGCGTGTGGGGCTGGGGATTGCACTCAGGTTCTTGGGCTTGCCTCTGAGTTATTTCTCTGGCCCTATACCTGGTTTATTGTTTTGTTTTTTTGCAGAACCTGGGATTGAACTCAGACCCTTATGCTTGCCAGGCAAGCACTTATTCTACTGAGCCATCTCCCCAGCCCACCTGGTTTAAATGAAACTTTTCAAAGAAAATGATAGAGCGGGGGAGATGGCTCAGTAGAATAAGCACTTCCCTGGCAAGCACAAGGGCCTGAATTCAATCCCAGGTTCTGCAAAAAAAAAAAAAAAAAAAAAAAAAAAAAAAAAAAAAAAAAGAAAAAGAAAATGATAG